TCGCATTCTTGAGGGTAGGCTCCGAGCTCCTCAGTGGAGTATAGTGTGTCCGTATAGTGAGCTTGATGATGACGATTTGTTTTGCTTCAATGCATATTGTCTTGTTAGCAATTTTCTAAATATTTTACTAACAGAGAGGAGCTAATCTCTTTCCAGTGTTATTCTTTTTCTCAAGACAAGAGTGGCACTACTACTCCAGTTCTATCAGAAAATATGATCTATCAAATAAACAAACTGGAACAAATAAGCATTTATCAAAGTTGGGGTATTTTGTTGGTGAACTCAACAATAATGGTATTATTACGAAAGCAATGAGCATTATGTTGCGTTCTTAAAATATGTTCGCTTTAGTCAGAAGATTAAATAAAGTTGCAATTAACGAAATTGTTTTATTTTTCCAAAATTGTTTTCCCTCGAATAATACTTTCAAACGTCAAAACGGAAATTGACAGATTGATTTTTTTAGGTTGGTAGCAACGTAGACTTGTTCATAATATTGCTAGCATTGAAAATGTCAATTTTTATTCTCCGTTTGTGTATCTAATTAGTCAAGAGTCCCATCTCTTATTTTATATACTCTTTGGAGTATACTATAGATGTCATGTCGGATGTTGTCAAAAATCCTGAAAGCTGAAAGCAATCAGAACAAGATGAACAGAGCAGCAGATATATACTCTTATTTACTTTTATTTATTTAGATATATATTCTTATTATATACTCTTTGGATGATACCGTGTTGCGCCGCTTAGCAATTTAATTTTCCCAACAATCTACTTTCGAAATTGTGTACTTTTAATATTTCATAAATACACAATAAGAATTTATTCTTTCATAAATAAATCGTAATTATGAACGACTAAGTTTTTATTTATTAAATCTCACCCCGTACGACTTTTTTACTCTTTGATATTCATCTTTGCCAATGTCAATATGTCAAATTGTCTTCAGTGATTAATTATTTCATTTCATTCCTGCAGTTTTGCATTGTTGTTTTGATTGCTTCTTTGGTGTTAAAATACTATAAAATCCTTTGAAAATACCATAAATAATAAGTTAAAAGGCTTGTATCAAAATGTCAATTATTACGGTATCTGGATTGCCTCCCCGCGTAAGTATTTCATTTGTGTATATAATCACAGTTTCTTTTTAACAGATATTTCTTTGCCATTATTTCTACCTTTAATTAATTCTTATATTTATATTATCTCTTATCTATTTCAAGGAGGAATTAAGTCACGTTTACTAGTTTTAAATTAAAAATTGAAGAAATTACCGTAGCCATTTTAACTTATAAAAGCTTTGATTATGTTAAAATTGATTGCTGATTGAAGTTAGAATAGTTTAATATTTTTGTTGCAGTGGGATATGAAATTGTTGGTGAGAAAATTAATACATCCAATAAGAGGAATTTTTGAAGTACTTACTATCCAATGTACCAAAAGCACTAGGACTGGTTATGTACGTCTGTCGGAAATGCTCGACCCACAGACAGTCGTGAATAAAATAAACAATTTTTCATTTGGTAAAATCAAACTGCATGCTAGAATACCTGATGATGAACCAACAGTAAGTTTTTAGGAAATTTTATTTCACTCTGGCCCTAATATACTTGTCATAAAATTTACTATCTAAATATTACTTAGTTAAATTCTACGAAATGGCGCGGGTGTCGATGGCTCAGAGGTTAAGTACTTGACATGCAATCTGGGTTTGAATTCTGACATGTGAAGGGAAACTTTGTGATGCACCCTGCACATATCTGAGAAGACATACCCACATTTGGCGAGTGTAGTTGACTATGGGCTAGTAACTTCCAACTTAGGGCAGCCTATGAGCCTCTCGGTGAGCTGATGATGATATTCCATCAAATAGATTTGTTTATATACCTAGGTAAATTGGTATCCTTTATATATATGTATATTTTCATTGATAAGTTGAAGATAAAGCTGTAATAAAAAAAATAGGGTTGAACCGAGAACATATTGTCCTTATATTATTCAAACTTTCATGTGACATTGTAATAAACATATATAAAACGGCTAAAACACTCATATGTATGTGCGGTGGCTACACCAATTAGCTAATGATCCTGATGGGCATGAAACAAGTTGGTGCTGCCACCGTATGAACAAACATGAGTGTTTTAGCCATTTTTATATAAGTTTAATTTCACCTGCATCTCATTTTAAATGATTAATGTTTAAAAATAAATTTTGATTTAATTTTCCAGTTACCCAGCGTAGTAAAGCCTCTCGGAATGCCAAACAATCTTCGCAGAGCTTACGGTATAGCTAACGAAGGTACATCGGGAGAGGTAAATAATGTAATATATACATGAAAATATATGTTACAAGGTTATGTTTAAATTATTATGTAAAACTAGCGGTCGCCCGCGATTCCGTCCGACCGGAATTAAACAAATCATAATTAGTATGTGTTCGTCCAGACTATGCTCTATATGTATGCCAAATTTCATAGAGATCTGCTTAGTAAGATTTAGAATTTAAAATATTGTTTCAATATTATTGATAAATTAGACATATTGCAAATTACTTAATAACTACAGTACTGCATATTGTTTGAATTCCCTTGAGTTAAATATCTCTTTCTCATACTTTTTTATGGAAAGGGGAAGAGACAAATTACAGAACAGTGTAATTTCATTAGTCAAGTTGCCTATTTAGTACATAGATTATTGGTTTACCAGACTATCTTATTGTTATGGTTATGTACCTCAAAAGGAACAAAACGGAACCCTTATAGGATGATCACTTTGTTGTCCGTCCGTCTGTCAAGATTTTTTTATTGTATTTATCTGATTGCCAATTTCCAGGTGTTACATGCAGCGCACACTGAGATTATGGAGGAACTACAATCAAAGTATGCTGGTTTATTTAAACTGAGTAAGACAACTGGTCATAAACTACTGCAAGCAATTGCCGAGGTTTGTGTCTGAATTCATACAGTTTTCTCTTATCTATATATAATTTAAAATTGGAGTGTCTGTAATATAAAAAAAGTTTGCAAACATGATGTTTTTGTGTTGCTGATAAAGAAAAATCTATTTTTTTTTTGTCTATCTTCCTGTTTGTAAAGCCTAGTTTGTTCTGGGTAAACTCAGAAATAGCTTGACCGAGTTCAACTGGACTTTCATGAGAAGGTAGATGCATGTTGGTATATTATATGTGACCTTCTTTTTTCTTATATTTTTTTATTTAACTCCACACAATATTGAGTTATATAGCCAAAAGATTGTAAGTGTCAGTTTTGTTTTCAACTTTTTTTTTATATTTTATATTAATGCATATATTATATATTACTAACTGTCGACCGCGACACCGTCCGCGCAGGATTAAAAAGTAGATAGCAGCCGATTTTCAGTACCTACTGAATATGCATATAAAATTTCATAAGTCAGTCAATTTCGGAGGAGTATGGTAACTAACATTGTGACATGAGTATTTTATATATAAGATTTATCTCAGTGGATATTTTTACTGAGTTTTACCTAAACGTAGAATAAATTTCCTTATTTGGTTGGTTCCAGGACTTATTAAATGAAATGCGATGGATTATGATAAAAGCAAAAGATGTTAATACAAGCTACAAACTGACTAAACAGTACAGGAAGTTGCACCCACATCACTGTGATTTCAGTTTGATTTTGTCAAAGTTTAATAATATTGAAAGGGCAGCGGGGAAACCTCCATCCGGACTAAACCAGGATGACCTAGTCATGCCTACCGACAGACCTTATGGTATGTAATTTTTACTTATTCTTATATCTTTTTTATTGATTGTGATACTATTAGCAGTGCGCGACTCCGTCTGACGTTTAATCGACGTTCTTACGGTGAAGGAAAACATCGCGATGCTTGCACATATCTGAGAAGAATTTCAATAATATGTGTAGTCAACCAACCCGCACTGGGCTAGTGTGGTTGACTATGGCCTAGTCACCCATGATTTAGGGTAGGCTACGGGCACCTCGGTGGGGACGTATAGTGAGCTGATGATGATGATGACTCCGTTCGCGCGGCATTAAAAAAATAAGTAGTAGTACAAGCTATGTTCTACATCTATGCCAAATTTCAGCGAGATCTATGAAATAGTTCTGAAGACATCTTCAAACATCCATCTATCCATTTAAATTTTGGGATTTATAATACTACTAGCTGTCGCGCGCGACTCCGTCTTCGAATTAAAATAAAAACTTAATAAGTAGCCTATCTGTTGAGCCGTTCCGGAGATACCTCCAAACAAACCATCCATCCACCAACATTCACATTTATATTATTAGTAAGCTGTAAGATAAAGATAGGTTAATGTTACTTAACAGACAGGACGGTTAGAAAATTATATTTTTTTCTTGTAGTTCTGTCTAACATGCCGTTGGATAAAGTTCAAGTTATTTGCACAAAGTATGCAAAATCTATAAGCTTAAAGGTATGTAATACTTCATATACTAACAACTGCTTTTATCAAAAAAAAAATAGTTTGTTTTCTTTTGACACTAGTTATTACAAAAAAATATTAAGGGAATTACTATAAAAAATTAGACAATGTTTCAAATACATTTATAATGAAAACCTGCACATATCTGTAAAGTAATTCAAAGATATATGTGAAGTCAACCCGCACTGTGCCAGCATCGACTGTCACTAACTTAGGGTAGGCTCCGAGCCCCTCAGTGGGGACGTATAGTGAGCTGACGTCATTCAAAGGGTTAAAACATGTGTTTAAATAAACAGTGTCAAATTATCCTATTGGAGTATAAATTGTTGCATTATACATGAATGAATTTAATAAAGATGTGTTCGGTAGCTCAAGGGTTGACTTGACTTGCAATCTTGCAGGTCTTGGGTTCGAATCCCGCAATGTACCAATGTGTTTTTAGATTTAAATAGGTACATTTATAAGACGTTATTACTGTGAAGAGATTCAAAGATATGTTGACTATGGCCTAATAACTTAGGGTAGGCTCCGAGCACCTCAGTGGGGATGTATGTCAGTTGATGATATGTTTGATATGATTTAGCTACAAAACCACATAAGTGATTTAAAAACGACCACAAATGAGGAACCGATGGAGGAGGAGTTGGCTGTGCAGAAGGTCAGGCAAGAGTTGAAGAAAATCATTCCTTACATACCTATGGTAAGTAATACATGCCAATTTCAGTTGGCACGTCGAATTAGACAGTACTCTTTGTCACGACGTGCCAAATAAAATACTGGGTACTAATATCATATACTAGCTGTCGACCGCGACTCCGTCCGTGCGGAATTAAAAACAAATTTAATAAGCCTATGTGTTCTTCCAGACTATGTTCTACATCTATGCCAAATTCCATCAAGATCTGTTCAGCCGTTCCGGAGATATCTTCAAACAAACGTCCATCCAAACTTTCGCATTTATAATACTAAGAATTGTTAATTTGTTTGTTTTGGTTAAACTTAACAAATCAATAGACTTAAGAATATTTAAGCTAAATTTTTATTTTATTTTTTCAATAGAAATTAAATTTTAATTCACATATAAAAGAGATTTCACTTTCTTTCGTCTCTTTCTATCTAGTTGGATTAGAAAGAGATGGAAAGCTATATATATATATTTTTTTTTCAGATGGTACAGATAGTTGTGAAGGACAACATATTGCAGAAGAAGAGTATGTATTATAGAGTCAGAGTGAGTATATAAGATTTTCTTAACATACAACAAGTGTATGGTTCGAAAAAATAATTTTTAAAGTAAAGTACTGAAAATCTTGAACAATTCAAAGCAAAAACGCGCCTGCGTCTGTGCAAAATTAAAAAGAAAGTAATCCATGTGTTCTTCCAGACTATGTTCTACACGTCAAAGTTTCATCGAGATCCATGCAGCTATTCCAACAAACATCCATCCATACATCCAAATATTCGCATTTATAATATTAGTAAGATGTACGATGTTTTTGTTAACAAAATTTAGGTTCTTTTTTTTGGGTGACAAAGTATACACCACCCAGCACCTGACTTAGGGTATGCTCCGAACACCCCAGTGGGGACGTATAGTGAGCTGATGATGCATTAAATTGCAATTATTCAGATCTACGGCGAGCCGTTCCTACCGAATAAGGACATGATGCTGAAGTTCCTGAAGAAGTACCACGCGGTGAAGATGTACCGGAGCGACCGCGCATTCAACCTAATGCACTGCAAGGTGCCGCTCACCACCTTGCCCAAGTTCGCTGATGCTGACGGCACTAATATATGTAAGTAGAGATTTTTATACATACAATCTCAAACATCACAACTGAGGGGCGCTGCTATCGCGGTTTCATCTGTCAGAATATATATGCTATAAGTCAACCGCAACCCGTTCGCGTAGAATTAAAAAAAAAACTAATAAGTAGCCTATGTATTCTTCCAGAGTATATTCTACATATATGTCAAATTTTATCCAGGTCCGTTCAGCTGTTCCGGAGATATCAAACAAACATCCATTTATCGATCTAAACATTCGCATTTATAATATTAGTAAGATATTGTTAGTTTCTGAAACCAAAATCTCTGTATAAAAATATCGTCGTCCCGGTCATTATTGAACGAAACAAAAATAATATGTTTTAAATGTGGATCTTGGTCTCAGAAACCCATGGTTAGTCATAGATTACATAAAAGATTAAAATGACATGACAGCTGGAGTCAAAAAAAGGACTTGTGACATTTTTTGATGCTGACAGGGGGGCGCTAGTGAGTTATAATTTAGTTTCATTTATGGTCGTCTGTTCAAATCCTTGTCGTTCTGCAGTTACTTTTTTTATTGTCAGGCGGAGCTATTATGTACATCCGTCTATCAGACGTGGAGTACTACAAAGTGCCGGACACCATGGTGTCTGAGATGTTGTCGTTCAAGCCGGTGATGCCGGAACAGCCGCCATTGTCCACAAGCCAGACACATCCTCATGATGATTATGATAGTGAATGGAGTGAAAGTTGGTAGTTTTAAGTTATAATAAATTATATTAATGTTTGTATTTTGTTTTAATAATCCTTAAGATATTGTTATAGTTATAATACGTGAATAAAAATGTTTTACTTGTTTTTTTTTTTAAATATAGAACAGATTTACTTTCTGTATGTGTCCCGGCAAAGGTACGGTTAGATGTATCGGTAAGAATGTATTCGTTTTAGTCATTCCATTTGTATGAATTGCATGCAGTATTACGTAAATGTTTTAATATGGATGTAATCAGATTTCAAATAATTAAATTATTAAACTTATTCAAGTAAGTATTTTATTAATGTGTTTGATTTGTATCAATAAATAATCGTAGACAACTGTTATTTTATTCGTCTTGCGCATTTTAGGTTCCCTAGACCATTCACTTTTGTATTCCAAAGGTTTACATGGCAGAAATAAAAGCGGCTTGACCGGGTAAGTTCATAAGTGAAAAGTGGATTATTTTACAGGGTTTTAATTCATATACAGCATAATACATATATTTCATTCTTCTACATGTAACATGTGTAAAATTACCTTTAATATATCTTATTGCCCAAAAGACAAGACGTGAAAATTTTTCATCACAAATTTATTAGAAAGGAAAACAAAGATTGTAAAATTATGTAATTGCCTTTATACCGTTATTTCCTTTTAGCATTTGAATAATTTTTTTATAATCACATTTTTACGACTTCATGTTTTCGATTTGTTTTAAATAAATGCTTCTCCTCTTTGCTAAAATCGACATGTATTGTCATTTTAATCTTTGATAGGTTTGACAAATTTACCTGTTCACTTTTGAAATTTGAAAAGCGCTCGAACCTCGAACTTCGATCAAAACTTGCTACGCAGTTATTTACAAAGTTTTAAAAGCAAAAATGATGTTAACAATATTTGGATTACCACAAAAGGTATGTGATAATTGTTTCTCTAATTTATTTAAAAATGTTAAAGGTTGATAGAAAAACTGATTATTGTTTTAGATTACCTACAATAATTTAAAAAAGATAATTCATAAGGAATGTTATATTAGTCAATTTCTACTCGATGACTTTTTACAAGACTTGGATGGCAAGAAAAAAATAAAGATCTGTGTAGCTGATGATATTGAGGCTAATTTGGTGAAAAAAGGCCTGGATGGATACAAAATAGATAAAAATATTATCTCTGTGGTTCCAGTAGCTCCAAAAGTAAGTTGAAGATAACATAATTTAACTGAAAAGGCTATTTAAGCAGTTATAATCGCAATTGCTTTAGTTAATATTAATTTTCTAAGTTCTAAGTTAAAAAGTTCTGGTAAAACTGCAACTGATTTTCGTAAATTTAAAGTTTACAATATTAATAAAAACATTTACTAATTGATGAATTTACTTTTCAGATAGATACTGTTGAACAAAGCAGAGTTAATACAAAAGATACTGTCATTCCTTGTATTGAAAAGATTGATAACCAAGTGACAAATTCTTTCAAAGCTGTTTTGAAAGTAAAAAATTTTGCTACTGAAAATAAACCTAAAAAGAAGAAGACTAAAAAACGTAAAAAAAACAAGAAAAAGCGTTTACAGTTAGCAAAACAAGCTACAATGATGGATTCAATTAAAACAGAAACACCCATCTTAATAGGGGATTTGATTGTCCAACATCCGGTGAAAATTGAAAAAGATTTGATAAGCAATCATGTACAGATTAAACCAACAGTAAGCCAAACAGCTAGCACTGACCAGATAAAAGAAGACACCCCTAGTAGCAGGAGTGTTCCTCTTAAACAGACTATTAAGAGAAAAAAACAGTTGAATAAATCTGATGAACTTGAGATAGATATGACAGAGAAGAAACGGTTTAAATTTGATGTTTCCGCAATTGAATCTACAAAGGAAGAGTCATGTGTTTGTGTGGTTATAACATGTGGTCTAACTGGTCACTTAAGCAAAGATGTAGCAGACTTTGTTTTAGATTCTATTCGTAATAAGTTGATAGAGGATTCTAAGATCGAAACAATACATATTCCAGTGTTTACAAAAAATCCTATTTACATAGATGGGACTGTTAAATTGTTTTGTGAGGATGAAAATGCATTTGATTGGCTTGAACCAGTTGTAGTTAATCCTGATTTAATGGGAGGTATGCCATTAATTATAAACAAGGTCAATTTAAAAGGAAAGTTTTTATGTGGGATCGTAATACCTGATAGAGAAGACATATTGAAAAATCCATGTTTTATATTACACTTATTGAGTAAACAAAATCTTTGGATTGATGTGAACAGTTGGCAGTTTGTAGGAAGTGAACCGCGGTCAAAAAATTATTTTATGAAAGTGTTAATCCCTAAGGATCATTTGAATATATTAGGTAGAAAAAAAAACAAAATGGCATATTGTTTAGGTTCAGTGTATGTGAAGTTTATAGGACAAGCTAATAGATTAGCAAAAAGTTAAAGATTTATTAATTTTTGTGATTAAATGTGATAAAATCTTAGTGAGAAAGAAGGTATAAAGGCTTTATCTCTGATCTGGAGATTAGGGATGTATTTTCCCTTGTTGCTGTTGAAATTTAAAGTGAGTGTTTTAAAATATTTTTCTGTGTTCTAAAAACATTTGTAACTTTGCTATAATTTAGCAAGTTATATTTTTTTCTATATTTGTTTTATGTAAAAATTTTTTTTTGTTGTAAGATTTTTTTTCACAACTTGTGTTTGTTACTCAGACTTGTGTTTACATTGCTAAATGAATTTTTCTCCATCAGTTTGTAAAATTATGAAAAATGTTTTTGAATCGCTAAAGGTTTAGTAGATAAAAAAATTAAACAAAAAATTAATCAATGAAACATTTAATTCAGATCTCAAATTTAAATACAAAATATAAAATGTCATACATATTTTTATAATAAAAAATTTTAGAATAAAAATGCATTGTCTGACGACAAATGTTACAAAGTGCCCGCGATACAAAAATAATAAATATACGAAATGCTGTTTGTAATCGCACAGTAACTAAAAGATGACGGAACCTCAGCATTACCAACATGAGAAAACTAACGTCAACAAAATGGCGGCGTAAACGTCATTCATAACTGACAAACTTATATCATATCAATACAAGTTTTTGTTTTTATTTTTTTTGTTTTTCTTTTAGTTGTCAAGTCTATGGCAGCTAAAGTCCCTTGTTTTTTGTGAATAATGAAAGTAGCTATTGGAATGAAAAGTCGGTGGATAGAAAAAAATACTGTCACAATTGTACTTAACAAAACAATTCACAATTAATAATACACATTATATATTTTTTAACAGATTATAAATTCAATACAGTATATGTACCCGTATAGTTAAATAATTTGTGACTACATTTTTTTGAGGTTGCCATATTAAATCAACGATTGCAATTTTTTTTTAGCTTTTTAATTTTTTTTTAATTATCTTAAATGACAAAAATTTATAAATGCAATTGAATAATTCCATAACTTTGCTATAGTTTATAAAATATCTTTCTTTAATATAATCTATATAGGCCGGGTTAAATAGTGCGCTTAAATTAGGACCGTATTTTTATAGTAATAAGGCATTTTATCATCTATGAGTAGACTGTGCGATTCAGCCATTCTTCCAGAGAGAATGTAGCGTATTCTCCACCTGAAGATCTCCCTTTAAAGGTATCTGAAAATATATATAAATATATTAAAAATATATAAGAGTTGGTTTACATCGGAACAGTTAGTAAGCAGTTAGCGTGGTGGAAATCTACAACACCTCATTTTTTCCCTAAGTAAAAAAAATCATTTTAAATTGTGAGGGTAGTTGTAGATGTCCTAAAAATGACAAATACCGTCTACTGACAGGTTTATGGTTTTTGATTTTTTTTAATTATAAAAAGTAAAAATTCTACCATTAATTTCTGTAGTAGACGGCATGAAGAAAGAATAGTTGGAACTGTTTTTTTTTAATCTTACATTTTATGCTAGAAAATAAGAAAAAATACATTAAATTAAGTATTCAGATTCAATACTAATATTAAAAAAGCTAGGAAAATAACTAATAAGTCACACTGCCAGAACAAACAAAAAAAAAACAATTTTATTTAATCTGAATTAAAGAAATAGTACAATCTTTTGAGTTCGCACGTCCAAAGAAACATTTCAGACGTACCAAATCAATTATCAAGTACTATAAATGTATAAATACACATTTGTGTTCATGTTTCGTCAGTGTGAATTTAACAAGAGACAGTTCCAACACATCTCCAGTGTGCAGTATACAGATTCCTAACAAATCGTACTGTTCAGTTGCGAAGCGATGTCCTCTTCACGAGTTCAGCTGCAGTTCACGTTCGAGATTCTCGAGCGGCTCATTGTTTGCTGTTTTTTTATTTTATTTATTACTATATTACCTTAATAACTATTAATTACCATATATAGAAAAAAAGAAGACAATATTTATAAAAATAACTATCATCCGCGACTCTGTCCGCGTTTTAAAAAAAACTAATTAGTAGCCTGTGTGTTCATCCAGACTATATTGTACATATGTCAAATTCTTCCTTTCAAAAAAACATCAAGTTGGATTGTTGTCAAGCGCTAGCTTATTCGATATAAAGACATCCATCCATACATCCTTACATCCAATAATTGGCATTTTGAATACAAGATAACATTTACTAATGAAATCTACGTAAGAAAATAAATACACGTGATTTAGCCTAATCTCTTTCTCGTGATGTTTTGTGATTTTTTTCACGAACCCCGGAGGCTCTATTTCATCGAGTTCGTTCAATGTATAAAGGTTTGATGCTTATAAGAAATCTACACTAAGGGTATGTTTAAGTGATCACTGAATGCTGATAACTCACCGATCATGGTCTTGAGTCGCACAGAGCACATGATGAAGTCATCGAACTGAATGTAGCCGTCACTGGATCCGTATCTAAGAGTTTAAACAACAAAATTAAATATTATACATAGTTTTTATTGTGTGATGCCTGTAGGAATGTCTATTTGTTCTTTCCCCTGAATGAGATATTGAATTAAAAAAAAAACAGTAAAATAACCTTTACATACAGGACATATAAATAAAGCTATCATTTACTTAATATGTAGGTCAAGTTTTCATTGATATGTCATCAGTAAGAAAATAAACCCACGTGATATCTCATTTCAGCCGCTCTTTTATCTCGTGATGTTTTGTGATTTTTTCGCTACCCCAATAAAAAAAACAATAAATATATTCGAGAGAAAGATTACCTACTTTGTCAAAGATCCGTATTTTTATTAAGACAAATATCGATATGTTTTTTTAAAGGCAAAAAAAGCCTTAGGGTACCGACAGACTTAATACTAGATGCCTGGTGTGTTGTGGTCAGGCTTCTAAGTGAACACTTGATATAAGGACTTTTATATTTGTGTGTGTGCATGTATGTATGTAAACAGTGGTAGAGCCCGCTTTAATATGTTCGCACGAATTGTCCCGGCTCGCCCGGTCAAATACCACGACCGAAGATAGGCGACAAGTGGAAGCAAATCCGTGTTTCGTCTGATGAGTGTGCGTCCCGGAACCCTAATTTAGTCCTCTTTTCCCATTCCCACCCTTTTTCTTACAAGGAAAGGATAGGAAATGGAAGTGGACTTTCCGGATGAGAGGATGCACGGAAAGGGAAAATATGTTCTTTATGTGCATCTTCTCCTCCGTCGATTAAAGATAGGCAACGCATATGCAATTGCGTATGTCTATGGGCAACGGTCACTTCGCTATTTCAGCGACTTCAGGTGACCGCTCGCTCGTTTGCCACCTTATAATATAAATAAAGAGTGTATATTACCTGTGTGCGAGCACATTAAGGACGTGAGCGTTGACCGTGTACCCGGCGGAGTGCAGCGCGTCTCGCAGATTGTGTGCGGGGATAGCGCCGCGACCCTCAGTGTCGTACAGACGGAATACAGCCTAAAATATATACAAAATAATCACCAATTCCTCGGAATTCGACAATAATAAATAAATATATTAAAAATAGTACACATTTTTACATATTAACTGTGTCTTTTAGGTTAGTTTCTTAAATAGGAGTACAAAGGTTTTGCTACGGTGATAAGTGATGATGATCTTTCATCATGACCTACGTAGCCGCTTTCAGGGCTCGGAAACTAATCTTTAGAGTGATAAGGATGTAATTGGTTGTCTTCGATACATAAATTTCGCTTTTAGAGCGTCGGTTGCTCAGATGTTTAGGCACTTGACTTGTAATCTGCAGTACTGGGTTCGAATCCTGCAATGTGTTTTTCGATTTTTGATTTACATGTGTACATTTATTCGACGTTCTTACGGTGAAGGAAAACATCGTGATGCTGCACATATCTGAGAAGTAATTCAAAGATATCTGTGAAGTCAACCTGCACTTGGCCAGCGTGGTTGACTATGGCCTAATCACCCTTAACTTAGGGTAGGCTCCGAGCCCATCGATGGGGACGTATAGTGAGCTGATGATGATGATACATAAATTTGAATTTCTTCTCAGATTGTAGACATCACGATGTTTTTGGCACTCCAAAAATATTAATATTAAAGTATCAAGATTTTATTTAAAAATCATATACGATACGAAAAAATATTAAAAATAATCTTACCCTCCAGTTACGTAGATCGATCCATAGAGTTTTGAACTCGTCAAATCCTAATCCGCCGGAGTTATCTTTGTCCAACATCGCAATCATACTGCGACACACCTCTTTGGAGAAACCTTGACCTTTTAACTCTGTTAAATACAAAATTATTATATTAATATACATATAATATTTGAAGAAATACTGAAAAAAATAATTGAAAATGTATTACTAAGATAAAGTACCAAAACTATTTGAACCTCGTATACGTGCGAATGATTTTGATACTTTTTGATAAAAATATAACTTAATAATACATTTTCGTAAAACAATCTTAAATTTAATTTATGGAAATGGAGGTGTTTTATACGTAAAAAAAGATAAAAATAAAAAAATTAAATTTTTTAAAATGCCCATTTTTGTGCCGTAACATACATGCCGACGTGAAGCGTTCAGAAATTTAAACGAATACAAAATGTTGTATTCGTTTATATTTCAATGTGTTAGTTTGCGTAACATAAAAATATTTGGAAAATAATGCCTTAAAAATATACAAAAAAATACAGCATTATTTAACAAATAATAAACACAGATAATACATAGATTCTGGAATAAAAAAATAAAAAAACAGATATAAAAACAGCTGTCAAAAATTGCGCGCGAAAATAGACATTTTAAAATGGCGCGTCCCTCCATTTCTATAAAATATTTCGTTCGGAAATCGACGATGCATGCAACTCGCTGTCTCTTCCTGGAAAATATCAAATTATTAATAGTAATTTTATTAAAAAATATCATGAAAATACTATATTCATATTAAATAAAATAAAAAAATATCTATCTGTATATAAAATTAAAAAAAAAAACTCAACCCTACTTATACTGTACATTAATTTTATCAGCTTTAGTATATTAAATAAAAACTAAAGTAAAAAAAAATATTACGAACTATTTCACAAATAAATCTAAACATAATTTATTTTATAGGTCCTTTGACAATAAAGACCGCAGTATCACGGAACGTGTTAAAATGACAAACCTGGTTGAGGTTGCGGTTGATTCAGATGGACTTGCTCTTGTGTCTGCTGCTGTATCTGTTGCAGATCTACACCAAACTCCTTGCAGATTGGAGTACAGAGGGCGCACAGCAGCTGCTCCAGACAACCCTGCTCTGTAGGGCTCTGCCCCGGCCCCGGCCCCGGGACTCCGCCCCCGTCGTACGCGCCGTGACGCATCGCTAGCTCTGTGCCCCGGGATTTACTTACAATGATACACTTTTTATAACAAAAGTGAAAACGGATGAAATATACATTTTCACAAACCATTCCTTAAGTCATATAAAGCGTAAATTTTTAAATTTGTTTTAGAATTGAAGAGCCTTAACCAAAGACATATAAGAATATAGGCTGGTTGGTGAAAACGAAATAAATAAAAATACGACAAAATGCTATATATCTAACACTACTGAAAGATATGATAGGAAGGAATAGTATATGCTTAAATGTAATAAAAATAAACGAAAAAATAAAAAAAAAATTAAAGAAAGAAAATATAATATATAAATACACTACCAAAACTACTGGAAAGAACTACATAACGTACTATATGACAAAAATATATCTTATATCACTGATATTTACAATATTACTTATAAATAATATAAGTCATAACAAAAAAAATTAGATGACAAGGATCAAACAGTTTCAAACCAATATTTAGTTTGAAAACAAAATTCGAAACATATTAAAACATGTTTTCAACTAAATATTCATTTTGAAAACGAATTTTGGTAATTTTCTTTTTAGTTAAAAAAAGTATAAAAAAACATAACATGTACATAGCTTAATTAAGCAAAATTAAAAAAAAAGTTATATAAAATATTTATATATGCTTACACATATTAACTCGCGTGTCGCAAACACAAAGACAAGCGTTGTTTACACAAAAAGCGAACATCGAAAAGCTTCAAATGGGCATTTTAAAATAATTTTGTAAAAAAAAACATCAACAAATTGTTAATTTATTGGCTAATATTAATATTTCATAAAAAATATTTTGCTTATGTATTTTTAGATATTTATTAAAAGGAACCTTTGGCGCGAAATGGCTATCGTTACAAACTGTCAGAATGATTAGTAAGGGAACATAGTTATTTTTTTTGTAACTGAGTAGTGTTTGCCTTGAAGATACATTTACAGCTTCACCGGGTTTAAGGTGGCTGAGCGCAGATAACGCTTAGCCTGAACCTCGTTTAAGAGTAACAAGACTCGATGGCTCCCTCAGGAGCCTCGGCTCGGGTTGTTACTACGTTATAGTTACCGGATTAGTGAGGGGATAGAAACCTCGATATTTTAGTAAGGCTAGTGTTGCGCCAGTACACCGGCACAGTGTCGGATTTCCTTCCTAACATTATAAACAGTTTTTTCCGTAAAATGTTTAAAATGAATGTTATTTTATATTTAAATTTAAAAGTTTAATTACAATGAACAGAAACGGTTAATATGTAAAACTTTGTTACACGTAATTACAGCATAATTATTATAAAGGCTGATTTTTTTTGACAAAAATTTCAATTGGTTTGGGATTTTTTTTTTTTGCGCAAATTTTAAATATGTATATTATTTTAATATCAATCTTGTTATATACAATGTAATATCCCAAATACCATTATTTATTGCATGCAGGATCATAATACAAAAAATATATATTCAAACTACTTATTTAGATAAATTTCGTTACATGAGAGAGATAAAAGATATCACATAGGTGAAGTTAGAGAGAGACGTATACTATTTTCACTATTTCTCTTTGAATTTGTTTCCGTTCTCTCACATATTTAAGAAAAAATCCATTAAAAATTCTAATAAAATTAATAAATACTAAGTTTATTTGTCACGAAAATTTCATAATATTTCCTTTTTATAATTTTAGTGTATTTTGTATTGGAATAATACAATAATCTATATATAAAAATCGATTGCTGTTCGTTAGTCTCGCTAAAACTCGAGAAGGGCTAAACGAATTTATCTTAATTTGGTCTTAAAATGTTGTGGAGTAGGCTACAGGGAAGGTTTAAAACTTGGGAAAAATTCAAGTAATTTCCGGGAACTAATTATTTTTTTTCATTCCACGCGAACGAAGTCGCGGGCGATAGCTAGTTATTAAATAAACTTTCCGACCACCATAGTATTTAAAAAATTATTAATAGTAAAAGTACATACCTTCTCTCATAGCATAATCCAATATTTCCTTCAGTTCCTGCCAATCCACTTCTCCGTCATCTCCTGCGAGCCGGTTGAAGAAATCTCGCACAGGATCTGCCGGCTCTGGGTTCGGAGCTATTTCTTTTACCTTCAATATTATTTATTATATTAATTAAGTACGCAGAAGACAGGCGTCAAGTGGAAGCAATTCCGCGTTTCGTCTGATGAGTGTGCGTCCCGGAAGCCTAATTTTGTCCTCTTTCCCTTCCCATCCTTTTTCTTATAAGGAAAGGATGGGAAGTGAAAGTGGACTTTCCGGATGAGAGGATGCATGGAAAGGGAAAATATTTTCTTTATGTGCATCCTCTCCTCCGTCGATTAAAGGTAGGCAACGCATATGCAATTGCGTATGTCTATGGGCAACGGTCACTTCGCTATTTCAGCGATTTCAGGTGGCCGCTCGCTCGTTTGCCACCTTATGATATAAAAAAAAAAATTCTGAACAAAAAATACTAAATCCCAAACAGATGAGGGCGCCACAATCTTCTTTAATATAGCAACACTTTTCATGTCATTGAATTGTCTACGTTTTTTATCTGTGGTAAGATTTTTCACAATATATATCAAATCATAAACTCAACTCCTCACCATAGTTAAAATGTCCATGTAATGGCAATATTTTTTTTTAAATAAATTTGCTCTACGATTATGTACATATAAAAACATACCCTGTCATCAACATCGCCCATGCCGACATCTTCATCGTTCTCACTGCAAAAACATGTTTAATAATTAATTTCATTTTGAAAGTTCCAAAAATATACAAAAAAAAACTTTTGCAAATAAAACATTACAAATTTCTGAATAACCGAAACGAAAAAAAAAACATTTTTTAGGTTAAATTCTGTACTTTACTATTATAATATAATAAATGCCAATGTTTGGATGTATGTTTGTTAGAAGGTATCTCCAGAACGGCTGAACATAGACTACTAAGTTTATTATATACGCGCGAACGGATTCGCGGGCAACAGCTAGTTTAGTATAAAAAGATTTAGGAAATAATAAGACATATAATAAAATAATACTGACGTCATATTGTTGTCCTTTTCAGAGAAGACACGAAGCAAAAACTCTCCTTCTTCATCAGGCTCGAATGTGGAGGGCACGATCACGTACGAACCAGGCTCGAATTTGAACCTTAAAACGAAGAAAATAAGATTGAAAAATGTATATTATTTTGAATTTATAATCAAACACTGATATCTTGTGATATTTTAAAGTTGACTGAAGGGCGCTAGTGAGCTGTGATATTAAGTTTGACTTATGCTCACCGGGTCATATTTTTTTTTTATATCACAAGGGGGCAAACGTGCAGCGGGAACACCGAGATGTTCAACGACGCCCATGGACATCAGCAATACCAGAGGAACCGCTGATGCGTTAAATTAAATTTTCAATAAAAATCTAGATATAATTATTATATTATAAAAAATTTCAAAATTACAAATATTATAAATGTGAATGTTTGTATGTTTATTACAAAGTATTTCCAGAACGAATGCAAAGATCTCAGTGAAATTTGACATTGATATAGAACAAAGCCAAGAAGATCATATAGGCTACTATTTTTTTTTAAGTGCAGACAAAATCGTCGGAGACAGCTAGTCTAGATATAAAAACATCAAATTCTGTTCGTTTGTATTTCATATTTTGGTTTTGAAATTTTCGTGGAGGTCTAAGGAAGGTTTGAAAGGTGAGATAAATTCGAACAATCACTGGGGAACTAATTAAGTTTTTTTTATTGCACGCAGAGTCGTGGGCGATAGCTAGTAAATTAAAATGTTATTCATAATATTACACTCACCTAGCACTAACTTCTCTTAAATTAATAAAAGCTTGAGAACGTCCAACAGAAGCGTTGTATTTGAAGAAATTGACATCAAGAGGTTTTGGTACATGTCCGTAGTCCGGCAGCCGGTACACCGCGAACCCGATTGTAAGACATTCCAGTCCCTGGTGACGTTGTGAACGTCGGTTCTTCTGCATCAACGCTACTATAATCTGTGGAATTAAAGATATAACAAAATAGACACGACCATATTGAATTATTCAAAAAAACAAAGTGATCCTAAGGGTTCCGTTTTTTTCCTATGAGGTACGGAACCCTAAAAACTTGATAAACAGTTTAGATGTTTGTTAGAAGTTATCTCCAGAGCGGATGCATGGATCTCGATGAAATTTGATTTATATGTAAAACTAGCTGTCTCCCGCGACTTCGTCCGTGTGGACTTAAAAACATAACTATATCCTACTAATTTATATTTAATAAATGCTAAAATTTTAGATGTATGGATGGATGTTTATTAGAATGTATCTTCAGAACGGCTGCATGGATCACTCTAAAATTTAGTATAGATGTAGAACATAGTCGGGAAGAACACATTGGCAACTAATTTTTTTTTATTCCACGCGTGCGGAGTCCCAGGCGACAGCAAGTTCTACAGATATGTCTAATTTCATCGATATCCATTTAGCCGTTCTGGAGATACCTTCTAACAAACTTTTATCCATCCATCCATACAAACATTTATAATATTAGTAAGATACTAAGAATGATATTACTTATACATTCAAACCTAAATAAGCAAAAGTCTAAGGAATGCTGATAATTTTCTTGTTCATCCAAACGTTCAACTATATCGCTATCTCACTTATCTTAAGGTATATAAAAGAGATGACAATATATTTATATAAGCGGTGAATACTTACAGTACATTTATTCTCATCATCACCTTCGTCCACATCTTTCAATGTGACAGTGTATTGTGGATTCTTCCAGAAACTTTCCAGATAATTCCTGCATCCACCAGCAGTGACGCCTGAGAATAAAAAAATATCCATTCAAGAGGTTACATTTTGTAAACTATAGGAACACGGATAGTTCTCGCGCAAATCATAAAATCAGCAAACTGCATATAAAACGAATTCACAAAAATTCGCCAAATTAGCGAAATGACAAGCCAATATGCAGGTAGGTATTTCCCTTTCCTATGCAACACTGACTCTTCCCATTCTCTCTTTATAAGGAACGTGGTAAGGTAATTAAATTCTTTAACTATACCTCTGACCCATTCTCCTTCAAAGACGGACATCTCCCACTTCTTAGTGCAGCCCTCGGGACACTCCTCAGGGTCCAGAGAATCAGGATTCAAATTGCAAATCTCCACTCTGCAATAATATGGAAATAATAAAAAATGGATTAAAAATTACAATTATAGCTAACTGTCGCCCGCGACTCCGTCCGCGCGTAATTAATAAAAACTTGATAAGTAGCCTATGTGTTCTTACACACTATGTTTTATATGTATGTCAAATTTCAGCGAGATCCATGCAGCCGTTCTGGTGATAAATTCTAACATCCATCCATCCATACATTCGCATTTATAATATTAGTTTCCAACTATTTTGTAATGTTTTCCCTAAAAGAGACTAAAAGAGCAATGTAAATTTACTTTTAAAATATAAATTGATAGAAAAAATACCTTGAGAAATGATTAACAAAGTCTTTGAATGACATCCAGAATTCTCCATCATCATCAAATGTCAGACCAAGTTCTTCCTTCTCTGATTCTGGAATAAAACGCCATTCAGGTGACCTGGAAATATATCAAATTATTACTAACTATCGCTAAAAAAAACTTAATTATTAGACTATATTCTATATGTATGCCAAATTTCAGCAAGATCTATGCAGCCGTTTTGGAGATAACTTAATAACCATCCATCCATCTAAACTTACGCATCTATGTTAGTAAGATAAAAAAAAATTGTATATAACTCTGTTAAAATATAATCAACCAAGGTCATTAAATACATTATATAAAACCAATAAGTAATTTAAAGTTTGACTTATGCCCATATTGGGTCAATTGACGTTGTCAGTCTGAAAATTACATAAACAAAACGGCTAGTCTAGTTCTATTTTTGGCCAATAGATGGCACTATACATAAATATACTTTAACTAGCTGTCGCTCGCGACTCCGTCCGCGCGGAATAAAAAAATACTTAATAAGCAGATTATGTGTTCTTCCAGATTATATTCTACATATATGCCAAATTTCAGCGAGATACAGCTGTTTTAGAGATACCTTCAAGCAGACATCCATCCATCTAAACATTCGCATTTATAATATAAGTAAGAATGCCAGTGTTACTAACTTATCGCTCCACGGTCCGTTCCACTCAGCCTCGTTACCCCAAGGGTTGCGCAGACGCAGCAGAGGTATCTTGCCGGCGCGACCTGGTGTCTCAATGTCAACGTATTTGACACGTGTCACGGAGTACGCGTGACCTCTGATCAAACCAGCTGGTGTCTCCGCCTCCAAGATGTTGGGATCCGGCTGGAATGTTATATTAGTTGTTTCCATTAATTCTTAATTTTTTGTCAAATCGTTTAGTGGAAACGGACTTTAAAAATATTTGACTTTATGCTTGATCCATTAATTTTATCATCAGCTCACTATACGTCCCCATTGAGGGGCTCGGAGCCTACCCTAAGTCAGTGACTAGGCCATAGTCAATGCTGGCCCAGTCCGAGTTGACTACACACATATCTTTGAATTTCTTCACAGATATGTGCAGCATCACAATTTCCTTCACCATAAGAACGTTGGATAAATGTACGTATGCAAATCTAAAAACACATGAGTACACGGCGGGATTCGAACCTGGGACCTGCAGGTTAAAAGTCAAGTATTTAACCCCTGAGTCACTGACGCAATTATTTCATTAATGTCATTTTAAAGCCACGCCTATAGACGTTTATATTAATAATGGTCGGCTAGTGGAAAAAGCAGTTAAGGAAAGTACGGAATGTCCCTTATTATGACTTTTTGTAAATAATTTCTTGAAATAAATTAAATAGTAATTACCTCAATACTGCATCCCATAAGAGAGTTTCTTTCATATGCTTTTAGTAATATAGTATAGAAGTTAGGGGGCAGTTCCGCTACGTCGTACATCTCAGTGACGCCGCCGGTGAAGTCCTCCATCGCCTCGCAAGTGGAACCGCCCTTTAATGCTTCATATGACCCGTGCAGTCTGCATTTTTTTTTAATTCATTAAATTTTTTTGTAAAAAAAATTAACGAGAAAACTAAGCGTGATAAAATTTACAGTCAATTTTTTTTATTAAAAATTTACAGAAAAACACTATCCGAAACAAACACGGTTACGCAGACAGACAAAAAATTGCTTTTTTTCTAAGCAACATATACGAAATATGATTTTTTTCGATACACAAACACACCAATTGTATTAACATGTATAGATGTAGAAATAACGTAGACTAAATGTATTACTAATTTGATGATGAGTCGGTATGTTCGTATTGCGAAAAATCATAAAAACTAAAAAAAAATGTATAGATGACACAGGATTGGAAAAAAAATCTTATAACGTAATTATAAATAGCATCAAAAATCCCTATACAAACAAAAACAGGCACAAAATACAATGTCTTATAGCGAGTCCATTTATAATGGATCTAAGTGATAGACATACTTAGCATATGCTTTCTCCAAGAGTGCGCTCCAGAACTCGTTCCTCTCAGACGAGTGGAGGAAGACGAGCTTGCCGCGGTACGTCGGCAGCCTGTCGTCTATCACCACGTCCACCCACCGACCGTACTGCCAGAAACTGAAACATTCAAAATCTTATTTTTATATCTTCATCATCATCAGCTCACTATACCCCACCAAGGGCTCGAAGCCTACTCTAAGTTAAGGGTGATTAGGCCATAGACAACCACGCTAGCCCAATGCGGGTTACTAATATTATAAATGCGAATGTTTAGATGGATGTTTGTTTGAAGATATCTCCAGAACGGGTGAACGGATCTCAACAAAATTTGGTATACAAATAGAACATAGTCTGGAAGAACACATAGGCTATAATTTTTTTTTTTTTAATCCCACGCAGATAGAATCAAAGGCGATAGCTAGTTATAAGATGGAAAACGAGCTTCGATAGCTCAGGGGTTATGCACTTGACTTGTAAGTAAGTCTTGGATTCAAATCCCGCTATATCATTAAATATAAAGCTATTAAATATTCTGTGAAATAAAAAGATATTTACCGAAAATGGAAAACACCGGCGTAATCTTCATCGAAGCTCTGGTCATCAGGTACCACTTGGAAGAACAATCTGAAAACAAAAATTTAATAATATAGTTCAATTTAAGCCAAGATCTTTAAATACAAAGCGAAGTCACTATGTTATATTGTTGAATATGTAAGAAAAAAAGTTAGTTTCAGCAAAAATTTTAGTGTTCAAGAAATTTTGCGTATATATTTTTTACACTTTTTTTTAAAAAACTTCTGGTTTCAATTTGGGACAAACTATAGCATTTAGGCTACCAATTTTCGATATATAATAAGCCCTTTATCTTTCTAATATTACACATAAGAATGTTTATAATATTAGAAGGTATCTCCAGAACGACTTCATGGATCTTAATTAAATTAGGCATAGATGTAGAACATAGTTTGGAAGAATGCAGAGACTACTAATTTTTTTTTAATTCCCCGCGTTCGGTTGCGGGCGACAGCTAGTATAATCTTATATCTTTAAATGAGCAATTCTTGTATATATATATATATATAATTGGAATCTCGGAATCGGCTCCAACGATTTTAATAAAATTTAGTATATAGGAGGTTTCGGGAGCGATAAATCGATCTAGCTAGGAATCATTTTTGGAAAATGTCATTTTATTCGTGTTTTATCGATAATCAACTTTAACAAAAACTTAACTTTTTCTATCGGTAAGATCGAAAAATATTATTCATATTTCATTATTTTATTAGTAATTCGTACTTAAATATAATTTCCGAAAAACACAATTTAAAAAAAAACCGTCATTCAGGTACTATAAATGATACATCCAAGTCCAAGTAAATATGTTACAATGTCATATAAACAATTAAAACTTATTCTAGGTCAATGTTAATTATTTTATCATTAATATATTAGGCTATTAATATAATAAGCAACTATAAAGTTTGCATATATTAAATCAATTAGCATAAAAACGTCACATCTGATTACTTTAAAAAAAAAAAATTATATGCTTGTTTATCGTGTAAGAGAAAATACTATTAAAGATAGGTTACCTATTAATATAAATACTAGTTGACGCCCGCGACTCCGTACGCATGGAATTGAAAAGAATCGTAATAAGTAGCCCTTGTAATCATTAAGATCATTGTATATCTGTATCAAATTACAGCGAGATCTATGTAGCCGTATTGGACAATAAACATCCATCCATCTAAACATTCATATTTATAATATTACTTATATTAAGATAAGATAAATGCAAAACTAGATAAGCGAGAGTCCAAAGGATTTGTGAATGTTCTCGCTAATAGAGGTTTCTCTCTAACCCGAGTTTCTCGCTTAGGGAACGTACCCATACTACGTGACCTGTTTAGGGGGGGGGCGGGTCCTTAAAATACTACGGTCAGTCACCAGAGGAGGGGGGGGGTGTTTCAGGTTTTTGTCACGTAGTCGTTAGTTGTTATTTTTCATAATACATAATTCAGTAGTAATTTAAGTATGCATGCAGTCTTATGCAATAAAGACGAGTATGAGCCAAATTTTCGTGTTTGTGAAATGATTAAAATTCATAATTATGAATTACTACGTAAAAACAAAAGGGAGAGAGGGTCTTGGCATGTACTACGAGTGGTCACCGAGGGGAGGGAGGGGTCGAAAACGGTACCGTACAACTCGCTTATAGAGGATTCTCGGTTATTTTTACTGTATACACAATCAGGAAAATACAGACTACAAAGTATTACTCGTTATGTGATATCTTTTATCCTTGATATAAACATGGAATTTCAACAGGTAATATTCACGAATTATACTAATTAATATGCTAATAATATATTATTACATTTTATCGTCAATAATCAGTGGCTCAGGAGTTAAGCAGTTGACTTGCAATCTGCAGGTCTTGGGTTCGAATCCCACCATGAATCAATGTGTTTTTCGATTTCTGATTTACATATGTACATTTATCCAACGTTTTTACGGTGAAGGAAAACATCGTGATGCAATCAGCACATATCTGAGAAGAAATTCAAAGATATGTGTGAAGCCAACCCGCACTTGGCTAGCGTGGTTGACTATGGCCTAGTCACTAACTTAGGGTAGGCTCCGAGGCCCTCAGTAGGGACGTATAGTGAGCTAATGATGACATTTTAAGGAAGAAACCTTATTTTACTATAATAACTGCATACAGTAAATTTTTAGTGACACACATTTTTATCTATAGAAAGAAGACAAATATAAGTTACGATAACCAACGATATGTCGAATTCGCCGAAAAGACGAAGCGACCTCTACCTATAGACATCGGCAATTACATTAATGTACCTTTCACATTAAATTTGACTAAAAGCAAGAGAGTTGTACCAAGAACGGACCGAATATAAATCGAGAATTTACTTCTTACTATATGAATGTTATGTAAACTAAGATTTTAAGTGTTAAAATACATCGATTATCTATCATTAAGGTTTCTAACTGTAACTTACTTCCTATGCAGCGTGAGATTAGCCACCGCAGCCAAAAGCCAGCAATCACCCAACTCTCCTTGTTGCACGTCGAAACGACTGTATCCTTCGACGAAGAGTTGCGGGTCTTCGCATATCTCCTGGATATCAAAATATACGTTATAAATGGATCAATAGAGATAACTGAAATGAATAATTGATTGATATGGATGACTAAAACTTTAGCAAAATTCAGCCTAGTTAATTCGTGAGAGTAATATTATAATTAACTTAAATAAAGTATTATATATTAGGAAATTAATTTAAAAAAAAAATTAGAGATCAACGAGTCAAACAATTGATGTATTTTACTTAAAAAATTTTGTACATTGGTAAATAATAAAAATGATAGCTCTTGAACTATAACAGTTTGTCGTACTTACGCTTGGTCTGAGCCATGTTATGGGTCGGTCGAGACGCTCCTTGTAATACAGACTGCGGTCTATAGCTGGGAACTCTGGATCTTCAAATAGCCTGCCTTCAGCTAGGCAGCGTGAGCGAATATCCTTGAAGTCCTGGTAGGTGGCCGGTCCGAATGACGACGGACGAGTCTCACCGAGCTGGAGATGAAGATACATAAGAATTAAATACTAACTTAAGACCTTTTTGCACTGGTGTTACAATGAGAAAAAGTGTACATGTACCCTAAAAAAATTACGTTGGTAATGCTTAGAAGTTTTTTTTTACCGGATTATACCATTCATTTATAATACAATAGTTTCTAGAACTAAAATTGAAGATAAAACCTGTAGATAGTTTATTGGAAAGATTTCAATTTTGAAAAACGCACCCAATATAAAGGCTCTCCTGTCGGCATAAACATTTTGCTGCCTTTATAATTAGGCAATGGTTTAAGCTTATTATTCTTACTAAATTCAACAATAGAATGTCGTTTAGGTGATTGTATATTTTGATCATTTCCTAAAACAACCGTTGGTGTTCCGTCAGTTTCCTTTCGGAACACAAAACCTTTGCTGTAAACGGAATTACTTCTTTCTGCCACATCTGCTTTCTTCTCTATTGCCAATTCTTCTATTGTTTGTTCTTTAACTTTCGTAGCCCAGAATGGTTTATAAGAACTATTCTGTCTCACTTTAGACTGTTGATATTCGAAATCTGATACTTTTGTCTTCTTGAAATCTTTTAAAAGTTTAGAGAAGAATCCAGAAGAATTCTTCGTTTCCTTCTGTCGTGAGTAGTGTCCAGATTTTGGAGATACAATCGACACTGATTTTTTCTTCCATGTTACAGCAGCATTGGTTACTGTAGATGAATAGTATGTTGTAGTCAAATTACGAACTTCGTCTTTTCTCAACTTGATTACATCCTCTTCTATTTCCATCATTCTTCTATCACGGATAGACGTTTACTGAACAATGTCTCACGTTGATCAATAATTATAAATTATTAATTTAGGTCGCCCTTGAAATTTTTAGCTCAAGGATCATAATTAGTTCCGTAATTTCCTTTGTTATAAACAAATTAATCAAATCATTTATTTTGGAATATACCAATTAAAGTGACCGTAATTTGAAACGAATATTTCTCAGACACAATAAAAAAATTCAAAGTTTTTTTTTATTAATAAACGTCCGATGTGTGACCATTCTCACTATGAAATGAAAATATTAACTGGCATTTCGTTTGATAACGGCCAGTATATAATGCTTTATGTATAGATAACACATGGAAACCCCATGGAGACCAACATAAAGCATGTCGTACACAACGCTATTATTATTGACGTGTTTTTGAATTGATATTTTTAACGTAATTACAGTGTTTATTGTTCATTACGCCTTTTGGGTAGACATGATTATGTTCGATTTTTAATATCACTGTGACTCAGTGACATAATCTTATGTGTTCTTCCAGACTATGTTCTACATCCATTCAGCCTGGGGGGCCTATAGCCTATATGGGGCTGTTTTTAGGGTTTCCTCGGCAATTATTCATATTTTACTCACCTTTTAAACCTTCCATAGACTACAACTAACATTTCAAGACCCAGATAGAATAAATCCGTTCAGCCTTTCTCGAGTTTTAGCGAGATTAACGAACAGTAATTAATTTTTATATATATACATATGAAAACAAGAGTATTTTAAGAGAACATTAACTATCCATACTACAAATTTAATATCATTTGTCTTTTTAATTATGAAAAATATGCTTTAATATAAATTATTGTATCAGCCATATCTCGTTACAGATTTCACTAAACTATGAGTCTAATGAAACTTTCTAGAAGCTAAGCATTTTGTAGCGGGATATAGCTTTAAAAAACTGTTACTCAGGCATTAAATGTGATAGCTAACTTGCATACACCGAAATAGAGTGGACCTATGGTGCAACCTTGTTGGACTCGTCATTTTAGGAGTGGCATGTCTATTAATTCAATAACACTGTTATATGCATTAATAGGTAAAAATGCTTTTAGTTAATGAATTTATTCATATTGTTTTTTAATTTGAGAAAGTCTTGAGGGACTTTAATGTTATAAATGCAATGTTATGGTAGTGTTCTGACGTAATTATTTTTTAATATTCTTTAGAAAGTAGAAGCAATTTTAATCTTACTGATATTATTAAAGCGAAGCTTATGATGGATGGATGGATGGATGTTTGTTAGAAGTTATCTCCGGAACAGTTGAACGGATATTGATGAAATTTGGCACATATGTAGAACATAATCTGGAAGAAAACATGGGCTATATAGTTTTTTTTTATTCCGCGCGGACGGAGTCACGGGCGAATAGTTTCTGATATATTGTGCGTACACCGAACAAATTAAAATTCTTATGGTGAAGGTGAGAAAACACAGACTAAACATTCAAGAAGAGATGTTTTATTAAATAGGTTTGGCAACAATCTTTGATTAATTACGTTGCATTTTATAAACACTAAACTAAAGGTGAGTTTCTGAGATCAAAAATTCTGTATAATATAACAGAGATAATATGTTTTAAACGGAGATTTTGAACTTAGAAACCCACGGTAAATAAATTGAATTACGTTTGGATTTTTGTTTACATTATAAAATAAAGTTTTTATCAAAAGTTCCGTTGTACTTATCTATATGTGCTTTCCTGTAAGCCAAGGTTAAAATGCGATTTGTAATGACATTGGATTAGATTGCCCCTTATTGACTTTTATGTTTCAAACAAATGTAACGCGATAAGATATGAAAAAACCTATAA